GGGGCCGGGGTCGGCGAAGATGTACCTCTACGGTAACAAGTGGAGTTCGCATCGAAAAAAAGGGAAACCCAAGAAAGTCGTGGACATGAAGCTCAAGTTAGGCGAGGTGCAGAGCATGACATTCGGCGAGAACGACCCCCCCCCGTTCTACGATTGGGATGCCCCTGCGAAGGACATGGGGGGAGGGAAGCGTAGCAAGCAAGCGCAGAAGGAAGGCTACGTCGGGAAAGCCAAGGGGATGAAGCAGGTGCTATGGGAACGCGGGTGGTACATTGACAAGATGTCAACCACGACGAAGGATCCCAAAATGAACCTCGGGTTCGTTCTGGGGAGCCTCCCGGATTTTTTCAACGAGCGCACGGCCCTGCAGCACACTGTGGAGGCACGAGGGCACATTCTGGTGCTGTCCCCCAAGTTTCACCCGGAAGTTGCAGGCGTGGGAATCGAATATTCGTGGGGGATGTCGAAGCTCAAGTTTCGGCGGGAGCTCAACGATGAGATTCCGAAGAACCTGCACAACAACATCTTGACATCCATGAACAGGGAAACGATCCTTACGCTACCGCGGGTTCGCCGCTTCGCACGTCGCACGCGAGACTACTGCCGGGCATACTTCAAGCTGGAGAAGGATGCTGTAGGGGCCGAATCCAAGGACCGCATCGAGCAGATGCGCAAGTCCTGCAAAGCGCACCGCAACATCATTGACATGGAACCCGGCTTCATTGACAAGCAGTAGACTTTCTGTGGCCGGGCATTAGCGCTTCCTCGTGCATGGGTGGGGGTTGCGGCGGGAGAAGAATGCAGCCGGTAGCACCAGCTCCTCAAGTAGTTTTCGTTCTGTCGGTATTTGTGGCGTTACTTGTGTCATCGTTTGCGTGCTGACTGCGTATTGTTTGTTGTTGTCAAGTGCTCCACGATGCTACAATCGTGATGTATTTCTGTGTCTAAGAATATGGTTGGTACAAGTGCCTGTACTCTGGATTTTTTTTTCAACACACGGTGCGACGCACTGTACAGTATTGTACAACGGCGCTGGCGATGGAATGCCGGGGGTATGATCCTAAAGCCTTCGCAACATGGCCGAATCCTGAAGCACTCAAACCTCCATGAATTTTCCATCACCAGAGCAATAAAAATTTGCGTTGCTCAGGCTCTCTCGTCGAACTCCTTGTCAACGGCGCGAGGTATCAATCTCTGTCACAATCGGCCTTTCTTCCACTTCAAAAGTTTCCTCCGGGCTTGTTGAATCGTCACACGTGTTTTGCCCATTTTCCTCTCACGAAGGAAATTTTGAAAATTGGCCACGTGACGCTGATTTTTTCGAGTTAAAACCTGAAAGTTTGAGACGTTATTTGGAACAATCTCACCAAGACACCAATCGAAAACCCGAAGCGTTTTTTTTTTTTGCCGACTTACGCCCGTCTTTGTATTCCTGGAAAATCGGAAGTTGGCCATATCTCGGGAAAAAAAGCAAAAATGCTTGGGGTTTTCGATTGGCGTCTTGAGGAGAACGTCCCAAATCACGTGTCAAAAATTTAGGTTCTAAATTTAACTCGAAAAAATCAGCGTCGCGTGGCCATATTGGCGAGTCCCGGCTGTCTTGGCCGGACCAGCTTGTATATCCTCCTGGTCTGTGTCAAACACCACACAAGACGGACAATACGCAAAGCTCGTGGCGGATACCTTTGTCCTCGCTGTTGCTTGAGGGGTGGCGAGGGAGCATCGATGAACCAAGGTTGCGACACGGGCGAAAGAGCACAAATACCTGCTTGAGAAGTTCGGGTCATTTTTCCCGCTTGTCCTCGACTCTCTCTCGCGCTCACAATTTTTGAGCGCCCTTCAGTCTCCTGGTCTGTATCAACCACCGCACAAGAGGCCATACACGCAGCTCATGGCGGATACTTGTGGCATCGCTGTTGCTTCAGTGGGTGGCGAGGGAGCATCGATAAACCAAAGTTGGGACACGGGCGAAAGAGCAAAATAAATGGTTGCTGCGCACGTTGGTTGGCGTTGTGTTTTTTGTTACTTTCGCCACCTCAGTTTCCGCCCCTCCAATCGCCGTGTGGTCTCGAACAGCCACCACCCAAGACGGACCGTATTCACAGCTCTCGGGGGATAGCTTTACAGTTGCTCCTGCTTCACTCTGAGCGGATATATCACCGAAAAACCAAAAACGGTGGAAGATGTATGTATGTGTGACGAATGGCTGTTGCAGGGTCTCTCTTTTTCGGTCGGAAGAGAAAAAGTATCGTATCGTCATTTTCTTTAGAGGTTATTTTTTGGGTCCTCCCTTTGGGCAACTTTGGGGGGGGAAGATCTCCGAAAAAAGACACCGCAACAAACGTCCTTTTATTATTAGGGTAATGCTTTTTTTTAGTTTTTTTCTGCAAGTCGGGGTCATTTCTTTGTCTACAGTAAGCTCCGGTGCCACCAGCAGGCAATAATCAGAGTTCCAGTGAGGATAAACATCTTCGGTCTCTTACGCACTGGCATACCCGCCGTCTTCTTTTGGTTTTTGTTGTTTTTGTTGTTTTTCTGCATGCCGAGGTCACTTGTTTGTCTATAAATTTACAGTAGGCTCCGGTGCCACCAGCAGGCAATGACCAGAGTTCCAGTGAGAATAAACACCTTCCATCTCTTGCGCACTAGCATACCCGCCTTCGCACCACCCTTGGGCATGCAAGCAACCTCGACACGCATTTATTTCTACATCGCGGCATCGTCCGGCATGTCTATCGTGGCAATGTCATTCTTGAGTGGAGCCCCGGTGAGAGAGGGGCGGGCAAGAGGAGCGGTTGAAGCTCCTGCAGCGAGTGGTGCAGTAGTGCGCAGGACGCACAGCATTGGCCATCGATAGCCTTGAAGGCGATTGTAACGCGTGCAAACAAATCAGCAAGGCCAGAGATGCTACATATCACGTTCGATGTTTTCGTCATGGTTTAGTTTTCAAGACATTGCGGCATTCCTGCGAATGCTGACGGGTTGCAACAGAGAGAGGTTGCGGCAGAGGGGAACCGCATAATACTTCTCGTCGCCAGCATTTCCAGGCGAGATGCGCCCCCAGTACTCACCAATTGTCGCGGAGATCAGCCAGCTACACTTGGTGCCGGGGAGGGAGGTGTGTGAGGTACACTAGGTCGTGGCCTTTGTTGTCAGGCGCAAGGAGAGTCAGATGCCTCAAAAACGGTAGCCAGAGTATAACCGGTGGCCCTCCATGAACAAACCGGGCTTTATCGGCGGTGGTGATGGTGGTGGTGGCCGTTCAAACGTGAACGCCTTCGGGTTGCTTCATGCGAACGTATTGCCCAAGCCAAGAATACCACCAACAACGACGAGGTTCCGGACCTTTTTGCGACGGCGAGGGCACGATGGAAGCATGCTGGAAAACAGCGGGCGAGTTTGGTTCCGCAACAGAATCCCGTCTCTATTCAATCACCATTTACTTGTGGCCGATGGCGCCCACAACCGCGTGGAGCCCGGTCCACATGAGCCCGGTCAACATGTGTATTGGATTGGAGCGTCGCAATGAATGGCGATAACGCCAAGTTGAGACGGGAACGCACTGAGATATTTCAGTCGGAGTGCGCGGCCGTGTGCAGGCTGGACGCAATCACGCAGGCCAGCGTCAACGCGCTTCGGTGGCAAGAATATTCGAAGATGGCTTCACCGCTGGTTTGCTGGGGGGGAAGGTGGTGTGCTTCTGCTCGCCGCTTCAGCGCTGCAGCTCAACGCGCGCAAAGATCCTTCTATTATTTTATTGTCGACAGCAACAGCACGGACGACGCTAGTATGATGGGCCGAACGCTAAACTTGCATGTGGGCGTACATCCCACGCCCTCTCCCGGTGGCATCGGCATCCGTACCACATTGCACAGGAGCATCACTGCGCCAACCCGGAGGCTTCGGGCTTGCAGGTGGCAACGGGTATCGGGTATACATAGAAACGGCCGTTGAAACTATTTGCATGTTTGCTCAGCAGCGCTCCTTTTCGGGCGGTCCGCGTGCCGGTTCGGACATGTACCGGGTTTCGCCGCCGACGCGGCGTGACTTGACAACATCACAGTAGGCTGGACATTGGACACAGCAGCCCTTTGGTAAAGAGGAAAGAAGGAGCAGAGACTTTGGCAATTGGACACGGCGAACCACGCGACCACACCCACCCACTAGGTGAATCATCTCCGTGCTGGTTGAAACGATGGGTATGATCACGTATAGGCCACCGTCAGACGTGTGGGTTCTATAGAACTCTCCTCCGAACCATGCACTGGGTGATTGCAACTTGCTGCTCTGTGTAACCGCTTGGTCCCGGCCGAATCGCAGCAACCACGCTGTGACCTCGGCGGTCGCCTTTGTGCGTGTGCCTACATGCATTGAATTGGTGCAGCTTCAAGCTTTTGGTTCTACATGTAGACGAAAAATAATGACGCGGTCGTGCCTGGCTGTGCGCCCTTCCGTCAAGAACTGGAGATTTACAGGAGCTGCAATATGTCCCTCTCCACTCTCTTTCTCTGACAGCAATCGTACCCGTCCCACTCAGGCGAAACCGATACGATGGCGGCAATGGCAGACCAACAGGGAACGCTGGGAGGGAAAGGGGGATTGTTGGCTCGTGTAGTTGCGACCTCGGCAACGGCTTGCGAGGAGCAGCAGGTCGCCCGGGTGAGAAATGTTTGCGGACCCCGTTGAAGCTGGAAGCGGCCATATGCATATGCTTTGTGTGTCCGCGGTATGTAGATTGGGGGACCGTTTTGGAACCCCGCAGTTTGTTTGGTTGGCCTCTAGGCTCAAGAGAGCCATAGCGAACATCTTCGAAGGCCGCTCATTGGGTAGGGAAAAGCGCCGGAACATCAGCTGGGACACGATGACCGAGTCAAAACGTTTCGGGAGGGGGGGTCATGACCAATCATATTCAGCAAGTAGTACGCGGTCTATTTTACCCCCCCATGTTCGCCCCGCACCAGATCCGAAGAAACATACATTTTTTCTTTCCGTCCATATCCGAGGACCGACAACGGCTGGGAAGCATAATGCGCCACCAACGCCAACGAACGACCTCCCCCGCCCAAACCATCACACCCAAGTCCAGATCAATGATGATGCTATGGCGAAGTTCCTCGATCAACGCCAACGAAAGACCTCCCCCCCCAAAACCATCACACGCAAGTCCAGATCAATGATGATGCTATGGCGAAGTTCCTCGACGGTGGAGGCGTTCCCCTGGACAAGTACAAGCGGGCGGCCTCGAGAGTCCCTCTCCCGCTCAAGTTCGACGATGCTGCGCAGGTGGGGTTGACGCCGTTCCCGTTCGCTCCAACCCCTTTCCCCTCCGTACATACATCGTCGCGGTCTGGTTGGTTTGTTTCTTTCGCGGCAGAAGACGGAAGAGCTAAGAGACCGTCTTTTGAGTTTCTGGGACGCGCATTCTCCCGTGTGGTGTTTCTGCGCAATTGTGTTGCCACATACCAGGTTGTATTATGAGGTTACTTGTGTAGCCTGGGCGAATAGCAGCGGGCCATGTTTGAGGCGTCTGTACCAGCGGGCGAGAATCATCTGTATCCCAAAGAGGAACGAAGGATGATGGACTAAACCCAGGATGAAAAACATGTGCCTCTCTGTGCATACGCGTAGACTTGGCGAAATAATCCCTTCTGTTCTTTCGAGAGAAGAGGCGCTATCTTGTAGGAGCATGTTCTTCATCTTCCGCGTTCGGCCGACCGCGAACGCAGGAGATAAATTTTCACAGCCTTTTGGCGCTGCTGTCGTTCGGGGGGTCCCACGAGCCTGAGCTTCTAAGACTGACGGGTTCGAACGTGGACGATGCTGCCAAATTCGGTCTCATCGGCTCGCACCTCAGCAGGTACGATGTCTAGTGTGGAATGTTTGGCTACGGCTGCTTCGCACGCAGCATTTCTGGTTTTTTAATGTTTTGGCTACGATTGCTACTGGTGGCTGGGCGGATGTTAGTGTTTTTCCTTGATGTCGCGCGCGACGCGTCCATTTGTCGACTCGACACTACCTCCTGACGCGCCCCCGCGTGCGCAGGGAAAGGCTGGACGCTACTTGGATGAAGAACGCCCATGTCGGGAGTGTTTCGGAAGGATTCAAGATTCCGGTTCGGGAGGATGCTCCGTCGACCATCCCGGGTGGGTCGTTGGTAGATATATCGTAGAACATGCATCCTACACATGGGCGGGTACGATTGTGATGTATGGGTTTTGAGTCCGAATTTCAAGCCGTATGTCGTTGGAAGGATTTCTTCGCCATATACGAGATTTTGCCGTGATTGGGATCGTTGGAATGCACTACCTATCGACGTGTTTTGACAGGTGCGAACAGCTTGTTCGCCCTACCTGCTGGTGGTTTAGCTGCTTGTGATGACGCTGCGTCGGCTCGTGTCATACACGCACCCCTGCGTCACTCTGCACCCCCTCTCTATGCCGCCCCATCTTCCCTGCACGCCTCTTTTGCCTCGACCCGCGCTATATTTCGCTTAAGGCGTCACCGTCGACAGGCCCGGGGCGCTGGTGTCCCATGCTCAGGCGCTGTGCTCGGTACTCAATGAGACGGGCGAGGCATTGCTATCGCGGGGGTACACGGACATGGCGCAGTTCATCCTGCACTCGGCCAGGTGTGGTTGGTTTTCTTCCTCGTTGTTCGCGTGATTTGCTTTTGTTTTCTCTTAGTGATGACGTCACTTGGCTTCTGTGCCTAGAGGGGGCACATGTCGACTGTCCGTCAAGGCTTGGTCGATACTTGGTCCGAGGGAGCGTCTCTGAGAAGGTATTGATTGGCGCCGTGTGCCTGTTTCTCTTCTGCCAACAGTGAAGTGGGGGCACAATCGGCAACCTGCCCCGTGTCCGCTTCGCAGGCGTATGGGCGTCACACCGCTCCGCCCTTCTTTTCTGGACCTTTACATTTATTGGAGCGAAGTAAAAATTAGATAAGCCGAGATCCTCGTAGTACGTAGGTCGCTGAAGGCTGCCCGCCGCTCAGGTTCGGGGGGTAGATCGGGGATCCCAATCCGGTTTGTGGAGGAAATAGAGGGCAGGGGCTGATGTCGCCGATCGGCAACGGAGTTTCGGGCCAATCAAATTTCAGCACCGCTGTTTGGACCTGTACGAAAACTGTGGGCAAGGTGGTTAATCCTCTTTCTCGCAATGTGGTAGATAGCCTTAGAGCTGGGGAGGTTGATGTAATTCCTCTTGGTTGCCCTTAACGTTTGAGCTAGGGAAGTGTGTAATGCTCGTATTTGTCTGCTGCTGTTATTTGGTTGTGACCGGTACAAACGGAATGCGAAAGAATGAGCTTCGTTCGCTTCCTCGGGGGTACCAGCTGAAAGTATGACGTGGTGGGTGTTTGGCGTACTTCATCATGCGCTTGCACTTGGAAGTACTTTTCATATGTGCCGGTTGAGCTGGGCATCGCGAGCGCCAGGGAAAGCGTGCGCTATGACTTTTGAAAGGGGTCTCGTTGGCGGGGACACAGGGGTATATGCTCTGTAAGACTCTCGATTGGAGCGTTGACGCCAGCACCAAATCCAGGCGCACACATCACCACGATAACCCGCAGCCATAGCATTATGGCAATATAGATTTTGACACCAACGAGCCTTGGCCCGGAAAGTCCACCTCCGAAGCTGGGCCGGTCCTTAGAGCACCTACTCACTCGCAATGGCTGGTGGTGGGCGCACACGGTGTGTAGCCATCATTTCCCATATCATTTTCAACAACAAGCCCACCACGACCAATAACGTTCGACACGGGTGCACGCAGGTCGGACCCTGGTGTCGAAGGACTCGTGCGGTCTCTCAGCGGAGCTCTCCCGGGTTTCCAAGACACCGAAACTGTCAACGTGAGCCCTTGCCATGATTTTCGCATTTCAATATCTAGCAAAGTCACGCTGTCCGGAGGGTCCGTGGCGTTCCTTTTTTTTTTTCGGCTACTTTTCGAGGGGCTCGTGTCCATGTTGTGTGTTGCATGGCGATGAAGGGGCTATGGTTCGATACCTGGGTTGCTGAGGCCACACCAGGCTCGCTGAAGAAAACTTCAATACAAGTTGGAGCAGGGGTTTCGCGGTCTGGCTGCACGAGGAAACTCCTGAATTTCCAAGCGTTTTTACATTGCTCTCGGGATTACCCTCTAATGTAGGTTTGGGGTTTGGATGAGGCCTACCGCTATGGCCCCACCGATATGTGTCTTGTTGTGTATTCTCCTCGACCACTGTCCTGGAGCTTAAACTCGTCCGGAAGATGAACGGGCGCCACAACGCGCCGGCCAGGCCATTCTTGCGGCCAAGCCACGCCACACCTTCCCGGTGTCCGGTCTCCATGCACCTTTTCCGCCGCGGCTCCAAACGGGCCAACCCCGTCGGTCTTCCCTGCAGCTACGGGAGCGCCGCCGCCGGTCGTGCCTCAGCTTACCATGAGGATGCCGACAAGAAGAGCGAGGGAGGACAGCAGGGTGCTGCACCCATCCCCGCAGCTGTCAGCACATGAGCTGGAGGGCATTGACGACTACAACGAGTAGATGCCGGACACCTAGCAGCGGTCCCCGCAGATACCAGGGGCGCTGGCTTGCAACAACAGCGACAAGGTCTAGGGACCCCAGCCATTAGTCCCTGCCTTGTGCTTTTTCTGTATGCAACCGCTGCGGGCCACACATCACGGCCCGCAGC